GGCGGGCATACAGGCATGTAGGCAAGCTGGCAAACCCACGGACATACAAACAAACAGACAAACAAACAGACAGATAGATAGGTAGGCACCGAAAAAGAAAATAAAGAAGAAGAAAGAAAAGGATGGAAATCCGAATGATGTGACCCCATGCAAGTCTCGTTTTACGTTGTCACCCAACACGCGAAAGCTGCACAAGAGAGCCTTGATTTATCGGCACAAGCCGCCTGCAGTCTTGACTGATCTCTTTCAACGATCGTAACTTTCACGGGGAAGTTCGAAAAGTTCAGATTCAATTGAATTCGAGCGTCAGCGTGCGATGTGGTGAATGAGCCGATTTAGAGTTGTCAATGGTGGTTAATTTAAAGTTTTATCACTTTGGGTTTTCATTTTTTTACAGAAAAATGAGGCAGTGTACCCGCTCTCTGCTGAAGCTCTCTCTCTCTCTCTCTCTCTCTCTCTCTCTCTCTCTCTCTCTCTCTCTCTCTCTCTGGAAGGTCCAATTTTGTAAGGTCCTACTTTGGTGCTCTCTCTTTCTCTCTCTCTCCATCTACACATTCTTCCTCTCTCCCCTCCTCTCGCATAATATATGAGTAACATATTGAAGAATACCGGACCACTCGTATACATTACTGAGCGAGAATGTGGGTGGGGTGGGTGGTTGGGGTGGAGGAGGGGTGGTTCAGGGGGCCCTGACAACATTTTAATGAATAGATCTACTGGTCCGAGATTCTCCATTGAGAGATATTAAAAACTGGGGGAAATTATGAATTCCTATGGTCGAGACATAGGCACAGTCAGTCCGCTGGTCCGGTATTCTTCAATCTTACCCAAAATGACATGCATAATAATATAATGTTAGGCTACACACGTCGCACCTTTTCATGTTTTACGAAATAATAATTATTATCCTAAATACTAAAATAGAAAAGCGAACCATTTTGACGACTTTTTCTGACGAGAAGAAAAAACAACGAAACAAGAGTAGAGCACTCTCGCTTTCTCTCCGATCACTGAAAACGAACTCGAAAACATTGTTGTGACGATTCTAAATTTTTGGAGCCTGCTGAGAAAAGAATAGCACAATGGATCGTGACTCCAAGTCCGGTAAACTGCCATTGATTAATAAGTTCAAGTAGATCTAAAATCTAGAGATCTAGTTTTTATTAAATTTTCAAGATAAAGTTGTTGTATGTCATGAAAAAGAAATGATAAGCATGAATGATGGGGCCACGGGCCACAGTCCACAGACTGTGACAGAGATGTTAACCCGGTGATCTTGTAGATTTTTAGACTAGATCTAGATTCTAGTTCCGTTCGTTAAAGTCCACGATCCATTTGTTTACATCCAGAGAAGAAATCCAGAAGTCTTGGTGACCAAATAGGCTACGAAAAGAGCAGGGATGCAACCTAAATACTAAATGCAAAACATCAAATTTTATGTGTATGGACCTATGGACCCAGTTAAGTAGTTAGTAGATTAGTAATAGTATGTATGGTAAAATTCAGGGGGACATAGTGCAGAAGGCCTACCCCCCTGAACCCCCCACTCCCACCTCCATATTTTTATTAGAATCTAGGTACCCCCCTACTCTTGACTTTAACGAATGAAACTACAAAATCACCGTTAACCCTCGTCCTGCGCGCGGGGGGGGGGGGGGGGGGTTTATGTCGCCCGATTAAGCCTATTTCGGCACCTCCTTTGCGTTCTGGTCCCGCGTCAGTCTGGCCCCTGGCGCGCTGATCATCATCTCCCGTACAATTCAGGTCCCGCGTCGGATCCCCTTTCACGCAGGTCAATTGTGTGTGGGTCAGTCTGCTTGAGTTTGTGTGTGTTTGTGGCCTTCTTCTAGAACTGCCTGCGTTGGTTCATAACCGAGGCATGTCTCATTCAAAACACGCCCAGTTGGTAGCTCTAGATATTCGTCCAATAAAATTATACTGCAGAACAAATTACAAATTGACCCTCTTAGACATGAGGAGCTCGAAAGGATCTAGATCTATAGTCAGTCAGGAAACAAGACTTCCATTTTTCTCCACAAAATCTTTCAAATGAGCTTGATTTTGTATGAAATGATACTACCTGATAAAAAATAGCTGGTTTCGTAATTTTGAATACCATTGTACAAGAATAATTTGAGTTCCAAGCATTCGGAAATCGACCACATTATCCCCTCTTGAACCCCAGTTCATTCAAAACAACAAAAGCGTCTAGAAATGTTTATATTCGAATTGGCGTTACTACTCATAATGTCTTATCAGCTTGTAAGAGGGGGTTATTCATGTGTTTGTATTACTTTATAAATAGAAAGCAATGAAAGATAGAGCGTTATTTGCATCATCGATAAACACACTCCCACGGTATTAATGGAGAAAGCACATGTTTCCCGGCGCATGCGCTGTACACCAACAGTACAAACTGAGTGACTCCGGCGACCTGCCCGGATCGTCCCGACGTAATCGGTTGCTGATAAGATTCGCATCTCAGCACGGACGCAGGACAAGAGTTATAGTAATTAGTGTTGCAGTCTGGCCACTCTAGATATAGCGGACACAATTTACTACCACCAAGACTGGCAAGACAAGTCACATGCACAAAACAACAAGACAAAATAACGCAACCGCAAATCCCAATTATAAAACTTACCCCCCACCTCCAAATTTTGCTGCTGTTCTTTGTACAAAGGAATGACAAAATCATCAAAATGCTCTAGATATCTAAATCTAGATTTAGACACATGAGATTAAACGTAGAACGACGCAAGCTATTTTTTTTTTTAGGTAAGGCAGCCATCTTGTTTGACATCAGTCCAGGATACCACTCCGATCACTTGACTACATCTAAATATAGCCAACCGCATGACACCAAAGATGGAAGTTTCTATGTATATCGAGCTTAATCTACCTCTTGCTTTTGGAAGTTCTGAGTGCCGAATGGACAGCGTGTCTACGTTTGAAGTCATACAATTATTTTATGAGTGTGGGATCGAATCCCTGTCCCGGATGGTTAAAAAAATTTTTTTTTCTCTTCCTTCTCCCGACTGATGGACAGTTTGTCCCATAAAATATAGTTGTTGCTTTGTAGTTTTTTTATCATGTACATATATTTGTGATGAAGCATGGGTGGGTGTAGATCTAATCATTCGGCGTCTTTACGGCAGTTTTCATGCGGTCTATTGTCTTTGCATTTACCGTGTTACAATTTCAAGCATCACAGCGTTCATTCTCACTGTTCTGAGCATCAACGATCTAGCTCTAAGCGATCTTCCATCATGTCCAAGTACTAGGAATTCCTAAATGTTATTAACATACCAAAAACACGTAATTTCATGCGGTATCTCCACGGCCTTCTTAAAATAGTCTGTGGGTATCCCAGGAAGTGATGACATCTCATTGCCAAAATTAACAGATGCATCGTTCTACGTTTAACGGCATGTGATCTAGACTCTTTGGTTAAATTGTCTATAATCCCTTGGCTTGATAAGCTTCTATCGAAAAATTTAAAGCATGAAGCTGCAGCGAGCACCTAGCACTCCTCTGTGATTGGACCAAATATAAATGACGTATTTCCACCAACTATTTTTGTCGTCTTCTGGGGCTTCCCTTGCCAGTTGACTAGATCTCAGCATGGCGAGCCCGCTTTGCCGCTTAGCGCGTGATGGGCTACGTCAATAGTCAATATAGGTTTCATTGCCGACTGCTTGGGCTGTGTGTGCGCGCAGGCTTGTGTATGTGTGTGTGTGCGTGCGCTTATTATGTGTGTGTGTGTGTGTGTGTGTGAGCACACGCTTGTGTGTGTGTGTGAGCACACGCTTGTGTGTGTGTGTGAGCACACGCTTGTGTGTGTGTGTGTGTGTGTGTGTGTGCACAACTTTGAGGAGAAGGTAAATTTATGGAAATAAAATTGCTGAGATTGTTTATAAAGTATAACATAAATTAATTTTAAAAAACAACTAACACGGCGAAATCTAGTCACCAGTTTCTGGCGAGGGAAACCCAAGAGTCTTAGGGGAAACCCCGGAAAAAGACAAAAATAGATCTGGATGACGGAAATACGTCATCTCTATATTTGGGCCAATCACAGAGATGTGCTAGGTGCTCGCTGCAGCTTCATGTAAATTAAAATGACTGGCTGGTGTGGCCCAGTGTGGGAGAGTGAGAACTCTAGGACCACATCTTGTCTTATCAACATCAATAAATCAAAATTTCAACATTGTCAACATAATAAAGAGGGGGAAAACCACCAGTATATTGTATCATTAATCTCCTGAAGAAAACAGATAGAGAGATAAATGACCACCTGGTCTTGTTTTCTAAAATTAATTCATTAGTGAATCAAATGGCACTGTTATATTAAACTTTACTAATACTTTTTACTTTTAGCTGATGTTTGAATGCACTCTTTTAAGTTATTTTGTTTTGCTTTCCAGAGACTTCAAAAAAGGCACGTACTTTTGACTTCATGACCATGTTTCAAGAAGCAAAGTTGACAGCTATGGAGAGATGTGGTGGAAACCAGGATGCGCTACAGACAGGTTATTATCTCAAAAAAAAAATCGTTACTGACGGTGTTATTCTTTTTATATACTATATATTATATGAACCGCTTTGTTTCAAAATGCGTCATATCCGTTTTTCTGGTTTTGAGAAAAATATAGATTTCTGTTTCATCAAATTGCTGCTCAAATAGTCTTGTTCAACTTTGGTTTTAGAGTAAACATGGTGAGTTGATATTCTTGTCAATCTACCTTGGATTCTTATCCTTTAAACTGATAAGATCTCCACACATTTTCATTTTCAAATACGACTTATGCACATTAATACTGTACAGAATGGAAAGAAATCAGTGACAAACTTTCACCGACCACAAATGAAGTCACATGAGTAGAGAAAAAAACTTGATTGCCATGCAGAGGATATGTCGCAGTTTATCAATAAAGGCCTTCTGCTTTTTTCTCATTTTGTAAAAAAAACCCCAACTTTCTGCAGTTCTTTAACTCATTCCGCCTAGAGTCGTTGCCAGCCGAATGCGGTTTCCTCGGAGGAATGACTCAGTCGTCGTTTCTCATATGGTTTTATTAAACGGTTCTTACTGCTATTTTTGGCAATATTTTTCAACTTTCGAATGTATTTGTATCAAGACCGGAAGCTTCACTGCTAGTTTCGTTATTAGTAGGCTTTTTAAAGAGAATTTTGCATGGTTTCTTTAGCGTGAAGTGTCAATCAAAATAAAGCAAACCCGTTTATTTACAATAGCAACAATGGCTTGGGGCAACGGTTCACGCAAAACGAAAGCCATGTAAAGCTTTTTGCTGGTCGACTTGACAAAGCGTCGGGCAAAGAGTGACCACAATGGCCACCTGAGGCAGGTAACTTTGACTGTGGGTTGATAAAATAAGGTGACCGCTGCCGCGTTGAACAGGTGACCATTTTACAGTTAAATTTTATAGAAGAAATGCATGGGGGGAAATGGAAAGTGGCTGTCATGGCAGATTCGACATGGAAGTATCAAATTTATTAATGTTAATACTGCCTTTAAATTAGACTTTTTTAAAAGGAGAAATCTTATCATTTCCTTTAAGATTCTGAAAGAAACTTTATTTTGTCTGCACTTGCACTGTGATTACTATTAGCTGCTCTATGTTTTGAACAAGTTTCTGTTGCATAATTGAATTCTGGATTCTGGTATCAGTTTATCCAAAAACTGAAAATATATGAAGCATATAGGGATTCTTATTGCTCTGATGGATTTGTTTCAGTACTGTAATATCATTAAAATTTACTCTTATGTCTTCAAGCATTTTCATACTTTGATCAGGAAAGGCAATTTTTAATTGAATATAAAGCTACCCTGAAGAAGAGTAACATTTTTGGGGCCCCTGATGTAGAGGTTTGTTTGAACTTGAGAAAAAGTAGTGTAAGTCGGAGTGTGTTCCATGGTATTGAGCGCTGATTTTAAATAGATACTTGCATTAAATTAATATCATCATCTCACATTATACACTTAATGAAACATTTTTTTTACATTCATGCTTTCCAGAACCCACAAATGAAGAAGATGTGATACCTGTGGAAGAGTCAAAAGTCAAAAAGAAGAAAGAGAAGAAAATGAAGAAAAAGTCCAAACACAAGCACAAACACAAGCACAAACATAAGCACAGTCGGTCTCGTGGTGGCTCGTCTGACGAAGCTGAGTCAGATGAAGACGAAAAGTCATCAGGCGGCAAACGGATACCTAGAGAAGGTACACAGGACAGTGATGACAGCAGTGATGAAGCTGTGGGACCCCCACTACCTCCTGGTTTTGTCCCTCTAGCACAAGAAAACAACGGTATGGGAAAAGGCGATGGTGTAGCGCAAAAAGTACAAGAGAAGGGCGTAGATGATGACAATGAGAAGAAAGCTGATTCCTTGATCATGGGACCCCCTCCTCCTCCAGGCTTTAGACCACAGTTTTCTAAACCCTCAACATCGAAAACGCAGTCGCAAAGTTCAAGTGCATCCATTATCCCCACAAATGAGGATTCTGATAATGAGGATGAGGAGATGTCAGATGATGATGATGTAAGATGTCCATGTTTGCTACTCACTTCCATTCTGGTTTCTTTTGTTTTGTGATTCTAGGCTGTTTTTAGTGTAAATTTGATCTGGTGGATTTGGTCGTAAATATTAATCTTTTTGCTTAAGAATTCTCAACATAATATTGTTTAACTAGGATTCGGATGAAGTTTTCGTGACTTAGTCAACACTATGCAGCCTTCATTTCTCTTAAGCTGCTTTCTGTATTAACTTGTTTAATAAACCTCATTATCAGGATAATTCTAATGAAACTGGAAATGAAATTAAAACATGGGCATTGAGTTTCATACTTATCTTATTGTCAGGAGGGAGTATGCTAGCAAAGGAAATGTATCTTTTGGTACTTTGTACTCTTTTACTGTGGTAGAGCTGGAACAATTAATTGATTCTTCATTAACATTTTTCTCCACAGAATCCACTGAACAAAATTCCAGAAAGTCATGAAATTGTTTTTGATCATGGAAATAAAACAGTGAGTCTGTTTTAGTATTTTAGGCTTTATTTGGTATGAGTTAACTACTTTTTATATATATAAATACATACATATATATATGAGCCTTTTCCAATAGGTGGGGCTTTCTTCATATACCTTACAAAATCCTTTCCTATTCCAATAAAAATGGTGCTACAGCTTTGAAAATTGTATATGTTGTGCTTAATATGATGTTTCAGCTGTGGGAACATAGAAGTAGCGGTCGGGCCATCAGAAGAAAGAGCCGCAATAGCAGTCGGGCCATCAGAAGAAATCTTACAATTATTTTTAGTTCTGAAATCAATGTAATTTTAGAATGCAAAATGTGACGCGCCGAGTTCGTACTTTTTCTGTCGTCAAGTTCAACAATGAAATAATTTCTGAGAAAGTTGTCCTTGTACACTTTTACTACTATAACTACGTTATTTGTGGTGCTATATCAAGAATAATGATAGCTATAGCTGTTTTTTCTTTGTCAGCCTTCTAGATTTTCATTTTCGAGCAATAACACTGAGGCATTTTGTCAACCTGATTACTTTTCTGGCTTTAGTTTTTATTGTTGTCATACTACTCTTTGCATGTAAACTGTTTTTGTTCAAAATGGCACATCACATGATCCGGTAACTCTGAAAAAGGTATTAGACTTTCAGAAGTTTTTAGTATAGTGTAGAAATCTGATACCATTTCTTATGCACCTGATTTCATTACCAGCCAGACCGGCAGAAATTATTACTATTGCTCTGAAAGTTTTGCTTACTGTTTATTTTTGTGTTTTTCAGATTTCAGCACTTGCCCTTGATCCTTCAGGGGCCCGTTTAGTGTCTGGCAGCTATGATTTTGACATCAAATTATGGGACTTTGCTGGCATGGATGCATCCTTGAAGTCTTTCAGATCCTTGAGACCCTGTGAATGGTTGGTTATCAGTTTTTGTCATCATATATATCTCTATTCTTAAGGGCACAGATTTGCATAATGTTCAGTGCTGACGAGACTTCTTTTTTCACGACAAAATTTTCCTAGGGGGCCTGTTCTCTAACGGTATTCTGTCGTCTGCTTTCGTCTCCATTTTCTGCCCCCTTCCCCTCACCTCCTTTTGGCCCCTCCTCTGGGCTCCTGACTCTTTCTGCTGCCTTTCTATTGCTACTCCTTGGCTCCTTCTAAGTGCTGTCTTTCAGCCACACCCCTGATTTAATGGTAAGAAAGATATCTACTCTTAGCCTTCTCGGAGGAAGGCGAAAAATCTCGGAGGTCCCGTGAGCAAGATCCCTTGGTGGTCCAAAATATATAAGAGTGTGCTTCGGCTTCAGCCCGGGCAAAATTCAAAATTTCCTACCAACTGAAAATGTTTAATGTGTCCCGCGTGATCGTATGACCTTATGCAGTTGTGAGTGACGTGCAACACTTTCCAAAAAAAAACCCACACACAAAAACTTTTAATGTGTATTTTTTAGTGGTTCTGCCCTCTCTGACATTGTGTCATTGTAGATTAAGATCTTGTACTTTGATTGCAGTTTTTCAGATTAAAAGTAAAGTTGTTCCCCCATCCGATCCGGACATTGGGGATTGCCTTGTTAGTAAGACAATTTCCTGGGTCTTCGGCATTTTGTGGTAGGGTGGCCAGTTCCTTTCCACGCCGCCTTTACTTCCCCAACACTAAGTCAGGTACCCATTACTGCTGGGTGGGCAGGAGGGGGCGAAAAAAATCTGTATCCGAAGCGAGGCTCGAACCCAGACTTTCCGCTTCGGAGATGAGCGCACTAACCGCTCCGCCACCGCACCCTCTTTTCCGATTATCAAGCTTAATTGAAAGGGGAAAAAATGACGTTTCACTTAAAGCTCTGAATGGATTTTATAAGGTTTTACAAGTCATCAGGCTCACTGTAAAGAAATAAGCAGAGTAGTAAAGTAGAATAATGATTGGGCCAGAAGTTTCCCACTTTTGGGAGAAATAAGTACAATGTATGTTGGGTTTTTTTGTGACAAAATTTAAAACGATCTTCTTTCATAAAACGTACTTCACATGATGCATATTAGATTGTTTAAGATCTCATCTCAGGATAATATTGGTCTGGAGTGACTAGGTACGTAGTCTATTCCATCTACTCCTAGATTAGGCGTTTGAAAATTCTTAAGCAAAAATTCTAAAGATGTCCACCAACCATGCCCTCACAAACCTTGTGCTTAAAGCATGAGAGACGAACAGCTTACTTTCCGACTAAGGACCCTGTTTTGCTCAATGAATAATACAATATTCTCTCCAATGATTTTTGTCTTAGCCACCAGATCAAAGGTCTGGAGTACAGCCCAACTGGCGACTCCATCCTTGTGGTAGCGGGCAATGCACAAGCAAAGGTCATCGACAGGGATGGCTTTGAAGTGATGGAGTGTGTCAAAGGAGATCAGTATCTGGTGGATCAAGCCAGTACTAAAGTGAGTGAATACAGAACTAGTGTTTTAAAGTACATTTTACACCCTGTTCAAATCTAGTGGATCAAGCCAGTACTAAAGTGAGTGAATACAGAACTAGTGTTTTAAAGTACATTTTGCACCCTGTTCAAATCTAGTGGATCAAGCCAGTACTAAAGTGAGTGAATACAGAACTAGTGTTTTAAAGTACATTTTACACCCTGTTCAAATCTAGTGGATCAAGCCAGTACTAAAGTGAGTGAATACAGAACTAGTGTTTTAAAGTACATTTTGCACCCTGTTCAAATCTAGTGGATCAAGCCAGTACTAAAGTGAGTGAATACAGAACTAGTGTTTTAAAGTACATTTTGCACCCTGTTCAAATCTAGTGGATCAAGCCAGTACTAAAGTGAGTGAATATAGAACTAGTGTTTTAAAGTACATTTTGCACCCTGTTCAATGCTATGCTAGATATTTACATAATGAATTCATGTCCAAATTATGTAAGGAAAGGGTGATATTTTTACCTTACATTTTTCAAAAAAATTTTTAATCCTTAAAGTATATGATCCATGAGCTGTATTGTAGATATGGTAGTTCAAAAACTGTTTTCAGTTTCTAATTCTTTATTGTGGTGTTTTTCTCGTTGACCACACTAATAGTGAAAAACTTCATAACCCTTCTGTTCGTCTATTTTCTTCTTTCACTAGCACCTCATGGACTTGTTAGTATCAACAGACACTTTGTTCATCCCACCTTTCACATCGCTCACATGACAAAGCTTCTGTTATTTCAGATACTTTTTTTCTGGCATGTTTCAAATGGAAAAGAGAAATGTTAGTTTTTGTGTGGATGCAGGTGGTATTTCTTCATTTGTTGTTTGCTCAAGTTCTAAGTAACACTGGTTTTTCAGATGTTGAGATGAAAGTTTGGAAGAACACATAAAACAGTAGAGTTACCAAAATTAAACATTTACTTTTATTTCAGATGTGAACCTTGAACTCAAATACAGTTGTGTCAATAACGTTTCGTTGTCTGTCATTACAGGGGCACACAGCTGCTCTCAATTATGGATGCTGGAATCCGAAGCTGAGAGAGGAGTTCCTGACTTGTGCCAATGATTGGTAAGGAAGTCTTGTGACGATCTGTTTCTATAAATAATTATATAGTTTTTGTTGTTTAAAGTCTCCTGTGCAGGTACTGGTCTTGTAGCGTTTATTTTGTTTCACACTGTGGAGATCGAGATAAGCTACTGCTCCTTGGGAATCGAACACTAAAGGTAATTCCTTGGATATCATGACATAATGATGGGAAATTTTGTCATTTCAAGAGTAGTGCAAGCGATAGTGCCGTAAAACATCTACCCAATCAGTATACTCACACTGCAGTTGTTGAAGTAGATGGGCTATATGGACCTATCGGTATATTCTCAAATGCTTCAATGTTAGGAATAGTACTTATATGTACATTCTGTTAATCTTCATTTTCCTTCTTTTAAACAATGTAAAAACTTAAGTTGGGAAAGTAAGTCTCCCCAGCGTTGATCTTAAACATGTTCATGTAAATTTTAAAAAGCTAATATGGTAGAAATATGTTCAAATGAATATGTTGTCAGTATTCTGTCTAATTTTGTGTCTTGTCTTCAGAACCTGAAACACACAAAAATGTCATTGTGAGTCAGTTGTGAGTTCTGTAGCATGTGTAAATATACCTATTTGTTTCTTTTGTCTGTTCTCCAGCACTGTAAGACTGTGGGACCTGAACAAGAAATTCAAACACAAGGACATCATCAAGACAAAAGGTCAGGGAGGTCGTAAGACCATACCGACGTGCTGCACCTACAGTAATGATGGTCGCTACATTGTCGCTGCATGCAATGATGGGTCCATTCAGCTGTGGGATCACAACAAACACACATTTGTAAGTGTGAAAGTGAAATATTAAGACCTCATGATTTTTCTAATTTATTGCTTGTTGCCGGGTCAGCGCTTGGTGTTTTTGTCGAAATAACGACTGATCATCGTGTTTGAGGCGATAAAATAATGATTTGTAATGATCTTACAGTCTTGAACAAAATTAGGCTCCATCTCTGTGTTATAGTGATTGTACTCTGTGAATGTGGAGATGTCTGGTGCACTTGGTACTCTTTTATTATCTGTCAAACATGGAGTTGCAGCCAGTGAGCGACTTTATTAAATTTGATAAAATTCTAAACAGCTACAATTTTCTTAAAAATTGAGTGAGAGGATAAAGAGTGGTACTGAAATTTTCAGGAGATATAGATCTAGGCCTTTCATATGGAACAGATAAATTTCGCCTACAGCTACTTTGAAAATTTAGTTTCCGGTACGTTGCCTACATTATTTATTCTTATTCCAAAAGTAAAGCCAGAGAGCAGTGGATCAACAAAACATATTTTTTTGTATCCATTTCTACAGGTCAATGTTGCCATGCACAACAGGAGTGCTCATATGAACGGGTCGGAAACGTCTAGTTTGAGGTTTTCTTACGATGGTCTCACCTTAGCCTCCAGGGGTGGTAAGTACCTCCCCCCCCCCCCGTCCATTGTTTTTTAACCAAGTCGGATCTCATCTTTCCGAGGCACCCTGGAAATAGCCTGACCATCAATGATTTATTTATAGAGGCACCAGCCATCCATGTCTAGGTACTGTTTTAGCCTCAAACCTGGAAATAGCAGTTCACAAGAGAGTGACAAACCTACAAAAGAAATAGAGGAACAATGACGATAGTAAAGATGAGGAAAGAAAATGCAGCAGTACCCCTGTTGTTCCGGCACAGTATGAGCATGACATTGATAGATCAGCCCATTTACAATTCAACTGTGCATAAGAACATGTTAATATTTCTCCTTTGGGATTGGCCTAAAGACACTTCGGTCAGTAGCACTGCCCTGGTGGGGGTGACTTTACATCCACTTAAAAAAAAAAAAATGATTTAAGCTACTGTACTGGCATTACGTGTATTTTTCTTGTAGCATACTTTTTATTGAAAGATGCAAGGGTAGTAGATTTAAAAGAGAAAAACATTAATTTGTCAGTGTAGGAGAGCTCAAGAGTAGACGAAAATCAAGACCATCAGAGATCATGTGTGCTTCTCAATGAGCTGAGTTTCAATACCATTTTAAAAATGTGTTGGACAAAGATGTTCATTGTGTCATTCACATCAATATTTATTTTATTGAAGGTGGTTTCACGATGTAGTCAAATAAATAAATGTATCCTGATTTTGAATTGTAGACAAAGAGACTTTGGGGTCCTGTTGAATATCTTTCAAACCTCACAGAAGCGTACAAAAATATGAAGACAGGGCAACTCTCTATAAATCAGTGGATTGAAACAATGTCTGTTGTTCTTCATTCATCTCAATTGAAGTGTAACAGTCAGGTTTACTCCCGTGTGATTCTCGGGGCCCTGTCCAAGAGACAGGAGAGCAAAGAATAGGATCCCTGTATCCGTACCGCGCATGTCGTAGAAGGCGACTAAGGTCGGTTGGGCAAAGGGTTAGCAGCCCTTTCCCGTAAAACAAAAAGCAGCTACAAAAACATCAACAACAAAAACAACACGACCGCCAGCTCAGGAAGATGGAGGACCTTCATCACTGAGGAGAGGAGAGAATATGGAGTAAACAGATAGAAAAGTATGCTCAGGACAGGCTTCGCTGGAGTAATGTTGTTGATGGCCTCTGCTCCACTGGGAGTTAAAAAGAGCAAGAGAGAGAGTCAGGTTTTGATCTGGTATCAGAAGTATAGAAATGTACAATTTTAATTTTTCTCAATGCAGGAGATGATACCCTTAAACTTTGGGACCTGAGGAACTTCAAACAACCCTTGAAAGTGGCAAACAACTTACCCAACATGTTTCCCATGTGAGTACAAAACTGAAGAGCACTTGAGATTTATGCAATGTCAATAATACATGTATTTGGTTCTATTCAAGAGAATTCCATGTCTCAAATAATGTTCTCCTCTCATGCAGACTGCATAAACTGTTACAGTGTTTGGTAGTTAACAAACTTTGGCTAACTCTCATAAACATGTGCCCAAATGTATTTACATATATACGTACAAGTGCACTAAATATACAGACATTTATGTACACATGTGCATACAGCGCACGTTCACAATTTATTTTTATTTTCAGTAATTTCATATGTCGTTTGTTTCGATAAACATATTTGCTTGTTTGTTAAAAAGTGTCTAAGTTTCAATGATCAGTGTTTAGTGAGCTTGAACTATGTTTTCACTGTTTCCATCACAGGACAGACTGCCTTTTCAGCCCAGATGATCGGCTTCTGGCAACAGCTGTATCACTCCAGAAAAATGAGACAGATGGGAAAATTGTTTTCCTTGACCGGAGCACACTAGATATTGTGAAGGAAATGCATGTGTCTGATACTGTGAGTGGAGTTTTATACTATGTCCTTAAACAAAATATTGTTACCTTATGTTAGACCAGGTTCGTAATGGATGATGTTGATAGCAGAGTATTGATCCTGAGAAGGGACTCTAATCAGAGAAAACATCTAGTAGGAAGAAAGAAGAATATTTTATCCCGTCTCAGATTTGATTCTTGTTTATGTGCACGTAAATATTTGATTAGTCTTTTTAATAAAGTGCTTGGTTTTCATGATTTAAGTTTTTACTTTCCTTCATTTCTCAGTCTGGTACATTTTCAAAATGGTCATCGTTTTTTTATCTGTTTTGTAATAATAATAATAATAGATAACATTTGTATAGCGCATATCCCCGCTCAGCAGCAGGCTCTATGCGCTTTACACTATATTATTACCCCAGCAGACCATAGAACACTCCGAAACATTCTCAGCTTCCCGGGAAGCATACAGTGCAAGCAGCCACAGAGAAAGAGTACTTGAATGTCACTGTACCCTGAATTAAAAAACTGATCTTCCAAGACCTCTCTGTTTTTGTTGTAGTGAAAACATTTTTGGTCTCACATTTGTATTATTTTTGCTTCTGTCTAATGCAGAGTACAATCAAATTTCTGTGGCATCCAAAATTGAACCAGATGGTGGTTGGCTGTGGAAATGGTCAAGTGAAACTCTTTTATGACCCAGTGAAGAGTCACAGGTATGTTGTAATAATATTAAATGCATACAAAATTTATATAACGCGTATCCACCCTCTGCAGCATGCTCTGTGCACTTCACAACTATTATTACCCCAGCAGGCTCATTCCCATCTGTGCTTTACCCAGAGACCCCACATAACGTTTGGCCCCTGATGGGATTTGAACCCACAACCTTACAGTTGAGAGTCAGAGAGCTTAAACAGTAGAACACTGACGCCACATGTCTCTGCACTTTGTTTTGTGACAGAAGTATTGTCCCAGATGGAAAGGGGACATGCTCAGCACGATGAGTGAGTGATAGTGTGACAAACTTGAGTAAAACAAGTGAACCTGACTACTTTATGTTGTTTGATTAAGGGGAGGAGGGATGGAGGCGTTTGAACATCTCAGGAGTGCCCTGGCCTTTAATCTAATTCAGTCATTTGATCCGTCTGTCTTGAGGGTAGCATATTTCTGTGCTTTTCAATTTTAGTGTATACTCAAACCTATAATATAGACCTATTGGGTTTTTAAAAAATCTTACCTTAAAGTCCAGGAGATCTGTATTGATTGCTCATCATCTGTATCTGATCTCTTTTTCTTCCCAGAGGAGCCATGCTGTGCGTGGTGAAGAAACAGAGGAAGGTGAAACAAGCGGAGATCATGGCAGCTCAGAACATCATTACTCGTATGTTAAATTCAGATGTTATTGTTGCCATCGAGTTGTCGTTTCTTTTCTACCAGTGTCAATGTAGGGAAAACTGTCAGCTTAATGGGGTCGAGGGGTTTAAAAAAAGATTTCGAGCTGTACAGGTTTTTTTTCTGTTAAAGTGCATTTTGCCTGTTTCTGAAAAATTTGAAAGAAAGTTATAGTCACTTCTACTGTGAAAGCAGTTTGTTTCAAGTAAATGTCTGGAGTCCTGTATAATTTTCTTGTTGTCTCTCTTTGACTCGAACATATTTTTCAGGTTTCATGAATAGATTTTTCTGAGTCATATGGCTCTTTGTTCGTATTTTTCTTCTAAAGGATGCATACTCTTCCCATTTCAAAAATTGTTCCTGCAGTGTGTAACATTCTCTTTATCCTTGGGTGTCTGCCAGTATTTTTTGTCTGGTATCACATGTGACACTTGTTCTGTGTCCACATCAGAATGCTCCATCCGGTATGTAAACATTCTCTCTCTCTCTCTTTTTCTCTCTCTCTCTCTCTCTCTTTTTCTCTCTCTCTCTCTCTCTCTCTCTCTCTCTTTTTCTCTCTCTCTCTCTCTCTCTTTTTCTCTCTCTCTCTCTCTTTTTCTCTCTCTCTCTCTCTCTCTCTCTCTCTCTCTCTCTCTCTCTCTTTTTCTCTCTGTTTCTACCAGAGTGCTGTGTCTAATATGTGACATCTTACCTCCCTGTGACTCTGCCAGTATTTTCTGTCCTGTATTATAAGATTCCTATTTGTTCTGTTTCTCCGCCAGCCTATGCTCTGCCAATGTTCAGACAGGGGAGACCAACCAGCACTCGCAAGGCAGAGGAGAGGGTGAGGAAAGATCCAGTGAAGAGTCACAGACCAGACCTGCCTGTCTCTGGACCTGGTAAGTCTTTTTTCGTCTTTAAAAGACTTGGAGTGGAGAAGCACACACAGTTTATGTAATGTTAGGCTGGGTAGAAAAATGTTTGTATGCCCCAGAAAATAAAAAGTGCCATTAATGTCCTTAACTCATTCGCTACGCCGAGCCGTGGGGGGCGGCGCGGCTAAAGTGCCGTCAGTACGCTAAGCTGCCCCCGGGGGCTCGAGAACCGACTTTCAATTTTAGCTTGGTTTCTATTCCAATCCACATATCCATGTTAAAATAAAGGTCATAATATAAAGTTGACTTCCGGGTCAAGCGTTTCCACCGAAAATCGGAAGTTTTGATTCAGTTTTGAAACACGATTTCGAAGTTTATGCGACATTGTTTTATCGCGAAGCCCAAATTATAGCCCACACACCAGTCTTAGTACTTTTACACAACAAAATGTATTGTTATTTTGCTCACTAAAGAAATGTAGGACTCTTCTTTATAATATTGATACTACTGGACTCAAATTGCCAGTGCACTGAAATTGAGAAATCAATATTTTTGAGTGCTAGATCTAGGCCTAAATCTAAATAGTCAAAATATTTTTTTCTCCCCAAAATCACTACTTTTTGGTGAATTTACTCAAAAAGTACCCCCCAAGACATGTATAGGTTTATTCCAAATGCAATTCTGAATAATTCCATATAAGATACGAGTATTTTTTTCTGTTTGGGATCTTTTTTTCAAAATTATTATAAATTTTTTTTTTTTCAATATCGGAGGTTATGATCCAAATGTACAAATATTATGGAATGTATGTAAATAACTGCTCATTTTTCAATATTTTCCTGTTCTTTATACAATAATGGTTATTTTGATGTATAATTTGACTAGGTGCAAACATTTTTTTTGAGTTTCATCTGAGATTATAAATTTTTTGTTTTCAAATTTTATCCGCAGCCAATCACAATTGTGTTGCATAATCGCCTCTTACAGGAACCAAAGTTGAAAAATACTCAAATAAACAATACAGATGTATTCTACAAACCATACTGAAAATGTTGGTATATAATATTTGATATTTATTTGAATTTATGGCCCCCAAGACCTGTGAACTGCGCACTAGTCATCATCTCATTTCGCCCTACCGAAAAAAATTCGCCCACAAGCCGAAAATAATACGTAGCGAATGAGTTAAGTGTAAGCAAACATATCCAGTAGCCTAAAATGGTACCCTCATACTACGATAAACTAAATTTAGTCTGTCTTTACCTAAGAGATAGCTTTGGTCTTTGTTCCAGCTGTTATAATTCATCTAATAGTAATCATATAGTACTAAAATAAGCAGCATACTCCAGTTTGTTTTACTGAGAATCCCTAGCAAGTAGGTATTAGTAACAAACTTGTAGAACTCAACATAATTATCGAGTCTATAAATGGTTAATCTGAGCTCAGGAGAACCATGTCATAATAATGATGGCGGTATGGTTCTGCGAAAAAGCAAGACAAGGGTCTGGAAAAAAAGAAGGGAAATAGAAGGCGCCTCTCTACCATTTCTCTTCGTCACTTGTATTTCCTGTTTTGTGAAAATATGCGCCAGAGAGACAGATTTTTGGACGAGTTGAGAGTACTTTTCAGTCCCATGGATGGCCTTGACCAGGGGACCCAACTTCTGTTGTAGGAAAATAATCTATGTACTGTTGAGAGGATCGTTTACCTCACACATCTAATGTGGATGATTGAAGGGGACCACTTGTGGGTCTTACTTCTTTTTTTCTATCTTGCGTTTTTCCTTGCGCTAAATCAGCTGACTGACTGTTATTGTGTCAATGTGCTTCTCTTTACTCAGACAAACTAATCAAACTCGTATATAATGCAACAAAACCCCCCCGGGGCAGTGCCATTGACTGTAGTGTCTTTAGGCCATTCCCAAAGGGGGGACATTTCTCGTTCAAGCACAGTAGAATTGTAAATGGGCTGACTCATGTCACGCTCATAACTGTGCCTGATCTACAACACGGAACTGCTGCTTTTTCTTTCCTGATCCTCACTATTGTCATTTTCCTCTACTTCTTTTGTATGTTTGTCACTCTCTTGTGACCTGCTATTTTGGGGTGCCTTGATAGTCGAAGCAGACCTTGTGCTGTTGAAGCTAGAGAGGTGAGCAGTCTAAGTCTGATTCCCTGTAAAGACTTCTCTGTTGACACCCACCCCTTGGCGCTCATACGACCTTATGCAGTTGCGAGCGCCGTAAAACCCTCTACTATAAAAAAGATTAAAAAATAATGCAACAATGCCCGCAGGTACTGGTGGTCGTGTCGGAGCGAAAGGAGCGACCCTATCGCAGTACGTGGCTCAGCAGCTTGTGTCTCGGAAGCCGGATCCGTATGAGAAAGATCCACGTGCTGCTATCTTGAGACATGCCAAGGATGCTGAAGAAAACCCATATTGGATTGACCCAGCCTACAAAAAGTGAGTGTTGGCGGGATGAGAAAAGGGATGTAACTTTGTTGAAAAGTTCTGCTGTGTCTGACACCCTTGCCTTCAACATTGAAAACCTATTGACATCTTTCTGTCATGAAAGAATTTTGGTGATAAATAATATGACTTTGCGATAAAAAAAAAAAAATTTCTTTTCCTTTCAAAATTTATAATAAATTGTTGTTAGTCAAAACGTGACTGAAGCTGTAATCTTCATTTATGTTCAGTTTTAATATAACTTCTTTCATTCAAGTAAAATTAAACTTGTTTTTTCTATGAAAATGTTCGTCCCATGCAAAATTCAATTTCAATTTTGAAACTTTCCCCTGTTGTTATCTGATATTAGCCTTATTTTAGTGGTCACAAGACGATGGAAATTTCCCTAGTTTTGTTTAAAATTGACCACTTAGAAAAAGCATGCTAAACTGAAAGTCTGCCTTTATTTTTCAATGTTTTTGTTCTTGTCCGTTAGTTCTGCGTTCAAAATTCAACCAATGCCATTTTGAAGTCAGTTTATTTATAACATATTCATGAAAGGGGACAAGTGACGTATTTCATCTTTTGCTCACGCTTTATTTTAAACTTGTAAGTGAATTTCACCTCTTCCAGTGGAAAGTCCTGGAATTCTAGTACAGTGGACTCCTATGTGAGATTGTAGTGCTGCACTTCGTAATGTTTGATTTCAATTATATATATATATATAGCCTTGTACTTGTACATGAGGCTACATCCCTTTTTTCATTTGTTTGTTCTTCCAGAACTCAGCCTGTGCCAGTTTTTAGACAACCAGATGAGGACAACAAGAAAGAAGAAGATGACGAGGGACCTCTTTGGAAGAAGAAAAAATTGGGATAGGCAGCTGGTTATTGATTGAAATGCTTTCTGATGTACTCCTGAAATAAACTTTGAAAAAACCCCAAACAAATTACAGCATTTTATCTTTGTTTTGTTTGAGTCAATATGATGAAAAACATTTGTTCAAATTGTCACTTGCCATGTAAAGCAGCGTCTAACAAAGTTCTTTGCTTTTCCCACGATAGCCAGGGAATGTTGTTACTTTTTTTCTGAACTGGTGAATAAATTCAGTACTCTGTCTATTGTGATGGAGATGGGTGCCCACAGACCAGCCACTCTATTAAGAAAGCCAGCAAGATCTCTGGATATGATTTTATAAGAATGGATGAAATGTATAACACCACACGTATAAAAAAGATAAAAAGCGTTATAAACAACTGTCACACCCCTTTTCCACGCAAATTATAAGATCACGCAGCGGCAGACATGTACCTCCAAAAACAAAGAAAGAAAGATATAAAAGAAGTTTTTTACCATCTAGCATAAGGCTTTTGTCAGAATGAGCATAGATGTGTGTTGCTCTTAGAGTATGTATCTGTATAATAATGTAACTCCAAAGGTCTAGTGCTAGTATTTAAATTCCTGCATGTGGTTGAATGATGCATTTGACGTAAATCTACATTTTGTCAGCTTTACTTCTCCTTTCATATATTGAATTTTAATGAGAGTAATATATATGATTTAAATATTTTTATGTATACCTGCATGTGTTTTTACGGTCCTGTACAGCCAAGGGAAATTTCCCTCTGGGATAATAAAATACTATCTTATCTTATCTTATGAAATCCAGAAATCAGGATCTCAGGGGAGAAAATGGGGATTTGGTGAAAAAAATCAGGATCAACGACAAATCACCAAGGTGACTGCCAAGCTAGCTTAAAAATTTCCAGGGCTGTCCATAAATATTATCCATGTATGTGCCCTCGTGTGTGTGTGTGTGTGTGTGTGTGTGCATGATCATTATTTTTTTAAAATCCTGAAGTATCACATCAAGGATTCCAAGGTGTAGTCCAAGTCTACACTCCCCCTCCCCCCGTAAGTTTCAAAAGACGCTTCAACCAGTGTGCATGAATTTAAGCTGACCCCGTCAACAGACGGGGCCTGACGCACACGGAACTCGCACGCTGAAGTCATGTGATGCGAACACACAATTGAAACGGTTTTACAGACGGGTCTTGATGACGGGACCGACTAACCAGAACTTGGGCAAGGCTTGTTTTGAAAGCAACAGCAGAACTATGAATAATATTGATCATTTGTATGTCACAATTGAAAGTTATCAAGCTATCATCGGAGAATTCTGAGTGTTCAGTTTTTCGTTTTAGTAGAGGTTTTACGGCGCTCGCAACTGCATACGGTCATATGAGCGCCAGAAGATTAGAGGTGTTACAAGAGAGTCACAAACATAAAAATAAGAAGGGGAGATAAGGACGATAGATGTTTCATAGGAAAGAAGAAGCAAACCACACCAGAGAACCCGCCAACCACCCACAAAAACAAAAAGAAAAGAGAGAATGCTTGAATGAGGAAGAAAATAACAGGAAAAAATAACACTGATTAACAAACACACACACACATTTTTATACAAAATAAAACAATTCAGAACACATCCGATGCATTTTGATTTATTCACATAATCATGGAATCAATCAGTCTACTGCAACCTTTGTGACAGAACAAATCTTTTCACTGAGATAAAACATTAAAATATCTAAAAATAACTATTAATCCATCCCTATAGCTGAACTTTTGAACCCTTCACTTAAAATACAAAATTAAGTGTTTGAAGACTAGAGGCATATTTTGTTCTTACGCAGAATTTCTGCCACATGCACTGAAACCGTGGCAGACTTTCAAATGGAGACCACACCCTGAAGAAAAGAGAAGTTAAAAAAGGAAAAAGAACCATAGTATTGTAAAAAATAGAAGAAAACAATGAAAAAAAACAAACCCAAGCAAGCAGACCCCCCCCCCCCCCCCCCCCTTCCTCAAAGACATCAGCATTTTGATAGACACCATGCATAGAATACTGGACACAATAGACCTTTACAGAGACTATACATACATGCTGAGCAAGGTACGATAAAGTTCAGTACATTGCAGGTTCCATGTAATTATATAGGCTACAAGCTTACCAATGTTGTGCCTTTAGTGCTTCTTTCCCTCGACATATCTATTTCAAACCTCACCATACGAGGCATTTATCCTATCATCTTTTAAAGAATCAATTTCCTCGCAAACTTGCTTCTTAGACTATCATTGATGGCAGAATAAATATGCAACCTTTGAAGGTAAAAGAATGAAAAGATAGATGTAATACAACAGAGGATATCATTGCACACTGTCACCTGTAACCACACATCCTTCATGATCCAGTCACTCCACCGATATTACAAATACACAAGTATGTACTGACAACAAACTGGCAGCTCAATCCTCTTCACCATCTTCCTCTTCACCATCTTCCTCGCCGCCTTTTTTCTCACCCTTGCCTTCTCCCTCCTCGTCATCTTCATCCTCATCTCCCTCCTCCTCAGAATCATCGTCTCCAGCTCTTTCCTGGTTGGCCTCCTCCAGTTTCAGCAGCTGTTTCTCCAGTTCAATCTCATCAATGTCAGAGACAACACGAGCCTGAGGACGTTAGAGAAAGGAGAAAAAAAAGGTTAAGATCTGTTTATCTTACATGAACAACAAATACTGCTGAGAAAGTTTTCAACTTTTTTGGTCCTCTCTGATGCAACAGGTCCTACAGATCGAAAAAAATGTAGACTAGCACAGGTAACACAGAAGAACAACTTTTAGAGCATTATTGGCTTTTTGTTGAGAATACAATAGTGATCGAACTGTACATAAAAAAGGTATAAATCGGTTTCACCGTCTCAGGGATGTAAACGGGCACTAAAAAAAAACAAACCCAGAAGAAAAACATGGTACTAATGCCACAACCACAGGTGGGAGCCTTTATGGGGTGGTGGGAGCCTTTATGGGGTGGTGGGAGCCTTTATGGGGTGGTGGGAGCCTTTATGGGGTGGTGGGAGCCTTTATGGGGTGGTGGGAGTGTCCAGGAGGCATACTTTCCCTTTTATTGCTTCTTTTCCTTCTGACAATATCTTTAGTTGATAACTAACCTCTCCATCTTGTGCACTTTTGCTATTCCGAAATCTTTCAAACATCACACATGCAGGGGCACAGCCACAGCATGGGAAACTATCGTGTGTATCGGCATCGACCGGCTCACCAGCACTTCCATATTTTATCTCAGAAAGCTAACTCCTCTTTGTTTTTTTTTCCTGATTTAGTTGCACTTACTAGAAATTCGCTGTGGGCATCTTTTGTTAAAAGGGATTGCCATTCCAATATGAAACTTGGCAAGCATTAGTGTTTTGTTTTTTTTTACTACTGGCACGACGAATTTCTCAACAGCTTTCCGATTTTTTCCTTGGAAAACTTTGGAAACTTCAGACCTTTAAAATCATTGACGTCTATCGATATTTTCCTACGAAAATCTTGTTGTGAAAAAAGAAGTCTTGTCAGCACTGAACATTATGTGTGTGATGGGAGAATAAACAGTGGATGTGTGTTTCCATGCCAAGTTACTGTGCTAGAAGGACTTTACGACTATTATAGTTATAATAATATTAATATTATGTACAAGACGAATGCACAACGTAATTCAGTCACATTAAATTGGAGAAACTTTTAAAAAACTTTTTCACTTTTATTGATTTCTTCCCCTCTCTCTCCTTTTATTATTGTTTTTTTTTTTTCAAAGCAGGAAGGGTTAACAAATCTGAAATAAGAGGAAATCCGGAACATATATATCCCTGCAGTTTGAAACACCAAGTAAAACCATCTCTGTCAGAGTTTTATATAAAAAACCCAACCAACAACCCATTTCCCATCTAAGTCACTTCAACAGTACAGAAATACAGAGGTTTTCTCCTGAAAACACTTGGCATAACAACCCGATCGGTCTAAGAACACGCTTATCATAACCATGTAACAATTTTCTCTCTCTATACTTCGTATGGCTTTTCACACACACACACACACACACAAAAAAAAAAAAAGAACCAAAAACACTGAGTTGGGGCAAAAAACTTTTTTGAGCTTCTATACCATAGGCCTACTTTGCATGGATTGGTTGAAGGGAGAGAGGTTGGCATGGACTAGTGGGTGACATAATCTACACACTTTATACCCTCTCACACAGAACGTTTCTATATACACGCATGTGAGTCATGCTGAGCAGGTCAGTCATTCAGAGACTTTTGACTGGTGCAATCACTTAAATTGACCCCTTAACACGGTCAAAGTATACGACTGTCCTATTCATAGTCACCCTTTCCCTTCTCTGATGCAGTGTTGTGACTGGAGCTGTTTCATTTCACAATTTCAACATGCAACGAAACAATAGAGACACCATCATGCTAGAACCCCCCTGGTTCTCACTTGCACCCAAAAACAAGGCACATCTCAATATAAAGCAAAAATCTCTGATCTTCTCTTGGGCACCAGTATTATCTGTGGGTAATTATTCCTTTATAGAATAAACATAGGAAGAATCTGAGTTGTGCCCCTTTAAATCCCACTAAGAACCTGCTTCTTCCGTCTCTCAATGACCAGGTTCTCAGGTGGAGACCATTGTACTACTACAAGTATAACTTTAATGTCAAAGAAATATCTCTGGTTACCTCTTTCTGGAGATTGAAGACTCCTTTAGCTGCTGTGATCTCAGCCTTGATGGCATCCAGGGCTTTGTTGAGTCTTTCCAACCCTTCGTTTCTCTCCAAAGTGCTCGTTGTCACCACATACAGAGGAGGAGCTATCAAGTTGATCTGAAAAGTTCATCAATTGTTTCATGTAAGCTTCACCCTTCTTAGGAAAACAAGTAGACAATGAGAGAGATGAGACCAAAAGGTGACAGACTTTGACAACATGAAAGGCCTGAGGCAAAATGCAAACTGTTGATCTACACAGAATAATATCCAAACCAGCTAAAAAATTAATTTGCTTTGAAGGAGACTTTCTAGAAGACTTTAAAAAAATATTTTAAACATTTTTTTAGTAGAGGGTTTTACGACACTCGCAACTGAGGTCATATATGCAGGGTTCCTGCCATGAACTTCCCATCAAATTCAAGGAGGTTTCAAGGAGAAATTTTTAAAATTCAAGGAGATTTGGTCAACTATTTTCGATAGGCCTACACTTGTCCGAAAGGAATCATAATTATCAAAGTTTCGATTTTCCTACAAAAACTGTTCCCAGGGTGACTGTCAACCCGGCTTCTCAATTTTCCAGCTCATCCATTCTCCAGGGGCACGTTACATAACAATGACAGTGCATGCTCCATTTATATTTTATATAGAATATATACACACACACGTGTGCATGCATGCATGTAGGTACATTATATCAAGTCAACAACATGTCAGTGTGGCACTGGGATACTGTGACTTAGGTATTTCAGTCTGTTCTTATTTATATTTTCCCCTCATCATAATCACCTAAATAAACTATTTAAAAAATGAATCTTGCTTTGAGCCTGAGAAAAGGCCTAGAACCAGAATATCCACTGTCAAGAACCACTTTGGGTGTCAGGTTTATATAATAAACGTGAAAGACAAAAATTATTGCTGTAACTCAAAGTAGAGTAATAACATGAATGGCTCAAGTAGACCTATTCAGAGTGAGAGGAGTAAGAACTGTGGGAAGGCAAGATGCAGTGACACTGAAAATCTGCGAAACTTGAACAGAAAGCTAAAATATAAAATATACAATACATATAATTTACTATCACCTACCCAATGAAAAGGGAACCCTTTAGTTAAAAAACACGGCTTACAAGGTTTGAGTGTGACAGAATTATTGTGGAAAACCCCCCCCCAACAAAACAAGAAATATTCCTACCTTGATTGGCATGTTCTCTGTTGACATTTCCAAGCCTTTCTTCAGTGCACTTTTTACTGCGTCAACTCCATCATAATATGTGCATTCGACATCGATATCTGACCAAAAAAAAATATAAAAAATTCAGAAATAGAAAGCCACATTTAATTAATCACCACTATTTCCATTTAATATACAGCTGAATCCGAGAAGGCAGAAATTTCAGCTGTTAATCAAACAGACTACAATGTATTAATAATAATAATAATAATAATAGATAGCATTTGTATAGCGCATACCCCCGCTCAACAGCAGGCTCTATGCGCTTTACACTATATTATTACCCCAGCAGACCATAGAACGCTCCGAAACATTCTCAGCTTCCCGGGAAGCATACAGTGCAAGCAGCTGATTAAGCGCTCAAACACTGACAAACTGACAAGATCTTTTGCTTCTATAGCCGGGTACCCATTCCCACCTGGGTGAAGTGGGGAAAATTCGTGTAAAGTGCCTTTCCCAAGGACACAACGTCGGGCCCCTGAAGGGATTCGAACCCACGACCTTACGGTTGCGAGTCCGAGAGCCTAACCACTAGGCCACCGACGCCAATATTCAATAAGATAGCAACCTATGCAATAAGATAGCAACCTATGCAATAAGACAGCAACCTATTCAATAAGATAGCAACCTATGCAATAAGATAGCAACCTATGCAATAAGATAGCAACATATGCAATAAGACAGCAACCTATTCAATAAGACAGCAACCTATGCAATAAGATAGCAACCTATTCAACAAGATTACATATTCAATAAGATAGCAACCTATTCAATTAGATAGCAACCTATTCAATAAGATAGCAACATATTCAATAAGATAGCAACCTATGCAATAAGATAGCAACCTATTCAATAAGACAGCAACCTATTCAATAAGACAGCAACCTATTCAACGCTAAAACATTTGTACTGAATGTCAGATGTCAGGAACAATGAGAGGTTATTTTCCAAAAGCTGTTCCTACAGCAGGTAGGCAACTTTGCAGTCTTTTTAACAGTAGTATTTACTTCCTATCAAACAGCTGATTTCTACACGAATGAGTCCCAATGATATTAACAAGGAGTAAAAGAACTTCCTCAGCTGGCAAAAGGTTAGTTTAGCTTTAGTAGAGTTTTTACGGTGCTACCAACTCTATCAGGTCATATGAGTGTCAAGGGGAGGATGTCAATAGAGAAATCTTTACAGGGAATCAGGCTTACTCTGCTCACCTCTCTAGCTTCAAATGCACAAAGTCTGCTTCGACTATCAAGGCACCCCGGAAATAGCAGTTCACAAGAGTGACAAACATACAAAAGAAGTAGAGGAAAAATGACGATACTAAGGATTAGGAAAGAAAAAGCAGAGGTTCCCTGTTGCAGTGCAGGCACAGTTATGAGCATGACAATGAATCAGCCCCATTTACAATTCTACTGTGCATAAGACATGTTAATGTCCCCCCCCCCCCCCTTTGGGAATGGTCTGAAGACACTTCAGTCAGTAGCACCGCCGCAGGGGGTTCGGGAAAAGGTCCATGGCAAAGGTTCGAGATTTTTTCATAACTCGACAGTCTCTAATAAAGTCTGAAAAAGGTACAAAATCTTACCTGCTCTTATTTTCATTTGCTGTGGAGTCAGTCTCCTACAAATGTTGTCATATAAACATTTCTTTGTGTCCTCATCAATGTCACACTCATCCAAAACATTTGGGTTTCTGTGAGGAAGAAAAAAACCCAACAACAAAGCTAACAACATGCACTATAGATGAAAACTACATAGCTTTTTGTTGCTTAAACTGTCATTTCCTTCAGGTGCTGGATCTGAGAACAACACCAACTGTTTAATGCTTCATTCCTAATTGAAGACTGCTGCAGCCAAGATGGGGGTGAATATTGCAGTAACACATTATTATTTCCTTTATTCACTTGCCTGGGTGTGACACACACGAGACAGATCAGAACAAAGTTTAATAGTAAAATTGAGTGAGACAGGTGGTCAAATCCAAAAAGATACACATAAGAACTTTAACAGAAATGGAGTACTAATTTGTCATGTTAACAAAACAGGATGAAATAAGACCAAAAATGTTTAGAACTCACTGCACAGCATGCTTGAAGGCCTCATAAGAAAAGCCAGGTTTGCTGTACTTTTCATCAAAGAACCAAGCTGTTTTCTCATACAACTCCTCAAGCCTCTCATCAGTTTTGTAACCCATCAGTTCACCTACATGCCTGAGGATGCTGTTTACCTGTCAAAAAAGAAGCATTTAAATATGACACATTTTTTTGTTTCAACAGTTTGAAAAGTATGTGAGAAACACACACACACATATATATATATACAATATATATACATTACATATATATGCAGTCCTTTAATTCAATCTTATCTTTGGTTTCTTTGATAGTAAAATTTTTGGAAAAATATAATGTGTATCCCAACATTTTATCCTGATATGGGCATAACATTACCTTGATTCCTCATAGTTAGAAAAAGTTCCATTTTTCTTCGATTCAGTTTTATCCATCTGTCATAAAGTATTTTTCACAAGCTGAAAATGAGTTGTCATGTAAATGAAGTGAGCATTCTGTTTGATCTCATTGGGGTATTGAAAAATATTAAAATGTTCTCCTAGTTTATTTCATTATTAATTAACTTGAAAGTAAACCACAGTAATAGGAAACAACATAGAGATAAATTGTCATCAACCAACAATTAAACTTACAGCAAGAGGTCTTGAAAATAAAATAGTAAAGAAAGATATATGCTGTAATAGGCAAACAAGTGGACACAAAATGGGAAACATTGGTGGCTGTGGTTCAAAGAGATTCAACACGGGCATAAAATAGACACAAAACACTCATTGCATTCACTTACTGCTTTGGCCTTTGCAAATTTCTCTTCACATTTAATCACTTCCTCGGGAGACACTCTTCTTTTTGACAGATCGATGTATCCTGAAAAGACATACAGCAGTACAAAAATATAGGTCACACTCAGTCACAATAACATAAATCAGTAAAAGTAAAATACCACGGAAACATAAAAAAAAATTAAAAAATTATAGTATCATTTACAGAACCCTTGTAGCTAAGTTTAACCACATAAAAAAAACTTTTCACCCCTGTACTATGGCAGCTATCTTCTAACACGTACAAAAGATAATCCTTTCTAAGCTACTTATACACTGTCACAAATCTGTTTTTTTTTTGTTTTTTTTACTGTGCACTATATGATAAACCCTATAAAAAACATGAATCATTTCTAAATAGGCCTACTTTCCGACCATCTCCTCCAATATCTCTTGTTAACCCTCATCCTGCGGGAGCCGGGTTTATGTAGCCCGATAAGCCTATTTCGGCACCTCGCCTGCGTTCTGGTCCCGAGTCAGTGTAGCTCCTGGCTCAGCGCACGCGCAGCGCGCATCCTCTTACGTGTCATTCGGGTCCCGAGTCGGATCCCCATTCACGCAGGTCAAGTGTGTGTGCGTCAGTCTGCTTGAGTTTGTGTGCGTTTGTGGCCTTCTTCTAGAACCACCTGCATTGGTTCGTAATCGAGGCATACGTCTCATTCAAAACATGCCAAGTTGATAGCTCTAGATGTTCGTCCAATGAAATTATAGAAGAAATTGACCCACTTAGACATGAGGAGCTCGAAAGGATAGTCAGGAAACAAGACTTCCATTTTTCTATACAAAACATTTCAAATGAGCTTGATTTTGTATGAAATGATACTATCTGATAAAAGATGAGCTTGTTTAATAGTTTTGAATACCCTTGTGTAGGTACAAAGAACAATTTGAGTGTAAAACATTCGGAAATTGACCTAAATTATCCCTTTTCGAACCTCAGGTCATTCATAACAACAAGAGCGTCCAGAAAGGTTATTCAAATGGGCGTAACTACTCGTAATGTCTTATCAGCTTGTGAGAGGGGGTTATTCATGTGTTTGTAACACTTTATAAATAGAATACTATGAAGGATAGAGCGTTATTTTCATCATCAGTTAACACACTCCCGCGGTATTCATGGCGAAAACACACGTTTCCCGGTGCGCGCGCTGTACACCAACAGTACACACTGAGTGACCCCGGCGGCCTGCCCGGCGAGTCCGACGTAATCGGTTGCTGATAAGATACGCATCTGGGCACAGACGCAGGATAAGAGTTAACTTTATAATATTAAAAAAACTGCTCCAAAACTTCGGATTTATTAAAGAACAAACTGGCTAACTCAGCTTGAATTTGACACACACATAATAATATCATAGAAAGTATTCAGTAATAAAGCAGAAAATTCCTCCAAAGGAGCTACCTTTATCTTTGTCAACTCTGATGACGACAACACATTCACTGCGTCCGACACGTATAAGCTTGTTGATTGAACGAATTCTTCTTCTCGACAATTCGCTGAGCAGGATCATGCCTTCAATATCATTGTACTCCAGAAGGCGACCATACGCTCCCATCTCTGCGATGGAGCGCACATTTACCATCACTACATCTTCCACTTCTGGGAACTTGTTCTTGTAAAAGCGACATGTCAGCACCATTTTGACTAATATCAATGCCACATGAAATCTGAGGATGAGAAACATAAAACGTTTTAATGTTGTCAACATAGCCCACTCTTATGACCTTACTCAGTTGCAAGCACCGTAAAACTCTAACCAAACCAAAAATCTGAACAAAGTGCATCTGATATTGTTGCTTTTCCCCTTCCTTTCTATACTATAAAACTATAATTCGACAATTTTGCAGGGAGACATTATAGCAGGAAAAATAAAAGTAATCTCCACACATTTCTCTCACAATAAATCTCAATCTCTTTCACTATTGTCATTTACAAACAAAGTGCACCTGTGGTCTATAGATGAAGGAAAGGCAATGTTGGGCCCGTGATTGGATTCTAATCCCTGACCTTATGGCTGCAAGCCTGAGACCCTAACCACCAGGCCACCGACAACACGATAGTAAGTGAACAATCTCAACAGATTCCACCTCAGCTATTTGGAGCATCAGCAAAATGACAGTGCAACAGAATACACGTTCACAAGTACATACTTCGTAACTTCATAATTAATAACTATGACAACCAGTAAGTCAAGATAATGAATATAGGAGAAATTATAATATGAATGATCTACCCTATTCAGTTACATCAAAGGTCTTAGATTGCTGAGATACTGTATAGGCCTACTGTTTTAGTAAGTTTTACAGCACTTGCAGCATAATTAGGTCATAGAAGTTCTGATGACTAAAGATGTTAAAAGAGAGTTAATTACTAATAATTATATAGACAGCACCTCTTTATATTACTCATGCACAAAAATCGAGATTTTTCAGGTCTTTTAGAATTCAGATGCCCATGCAAAAATGCAGAGAGATTCGCCACAATGAGGCCGACAAGTTGTCCATTTGGTGTTGTCCGGACTATAGTAAATCAGTACAGCAGAACAAGTGAACATAGTGTGTAGTTGCTCAGCTGGACCCCATCACTTTATCGATCAACATTTGGGCTAAGGAACCCACTACGAAGTCCACATAACTTGCAAACTCATTGGTCACTATTTATCACCATGTCCTGTCATTTACTACGTCATAAACCATTTAAGGAACACTGAAATTTTCCATTAAAGAAGGTCGGGCTCTGCCTTGAACCTGCACTGGGGTGGGGGGTGGTGGCCAGACATGCCTATGCTTCAGATTTAGCACTTGGTCGATCTCCGGTTTTGATCAAAATATCCCCCCCCCCCCCCCTGAAATTTCTGGCTGAGCCCCTACAACGACACCCAGTATTGTTAGGCCAGACCCAAAACCGGGGATCAACCGAGTGCTACATCTGAAGTACTGAAGCATAGGCATGTCACTGGCCACCCCCCCCCCCCCCCCCCCACACATACATTTTCGAACCACCTAAATATGAAAGTAGTATTATTTTAAGTGTTATTTATGCGATTATTATTATTATAATTTCTGACATGTCAATGTTATCTCAGTAGTTAATAGTTCAGTAAACTTAAGGCAATGCTATAGCAATGACAATGAAAAATTAAATTTTCATCCAAATTGCTTTAAAATGGGCTTAAATGAAAATAGAGTAAATTCTAAAAACTATGGTTTTTAAATTTTTAAAATCCATTGATAATAAAAAAAGTTATTGGGATTTTTGTTTGCAAAATGTTGGAGGACCTTCATGTAGGAAAAAATTGCCAAAATGTGGGACATGTTTTGATGTATTTTGAGGAAAAACTGTTCATAAGTAATGAATTGGAGCATATGAATGAAACTTGGCATCTCCATGTGATTTTTAGTGCAGAATCTAGTTCTGCTATCACTTTTTCTATGTCTTTATTACTTTGGATCTTAAAGACTGATATTTGCGAGAAATTTGTTGAATTGCGTGACATCGTTTTTACCGCGACGCGATCACCCCTTCTAAAACTCAGTAAAGCGCTATCGGGAAAACCCGCGATGTAGTCATCGCAGACCTATTTTGTTATAGGCAGCCAATCACATGCCGCCTAGCGATCCGGCACCTCGCGCTTTGAATGCGTGATCTAGTTTCCAGCTCTAGTGTTTTATCAATGGATGGGTGGTTATTTTAAGTTGGTACGTAAAATCTACTAAACGCAGAGATCTGAAATTTTACAGAAATAAAGAAGACATGTGGGGCGCTTGTGTGGTCGGCGATCAACCCGCAGCTCCGCTTAGTTTTCGAACCGTAGAGGAAATTCGCACAAACACGGCAATATCTCCAGTTCTAGTAATCGTACGGGATTGTACGCTGGCATGTCGTTAGTTTAACTTTTCCTCTGATTGGTTGCCGAGTTTCATTTATTTTCGTCCAGGAGTTTTCCCGTAACTATACTTAGAAGAGAGTCACTTCTGATTCCGAGCGGCCCAAAAATTACCCCTCGCGCGGAGGCCGATTGTGGCATTGCTAAATGTTAATAGTTCAGTAAATTTAAGCCAATGTTTTTGGAGTTATTTCTGGTTTGTAAATTAAGTAATCTAACCATGGTGATAAAGGAAAAAGTGACAGCAATTTGAAACATATGCATGCGCTCTCAAAGACTGTAAAGAAAGAAATTTTACTATATGTTATATATATATCACAATTACTAGATCTAAATAGTCAATCTAAATAAACCTACTGTTACCCACTAATCGCTGGACTGAAAACAACTCAGTCTTGCAGCACATGCAGTTAGTTCAAAAAAAGAAAATAGATTTGAACAAACAAAAAAAACCCACACAGTAAACTACCGTTCTTGTTCAAATAAAAAATCCCAGTGCAGACTGTAATAGTATACAGTATATAGAAAACGCCTCTTTACATTTGTCGCATATTCACGAAAATCAAGATTTTAAAAGTTTTTTAAAAATTCAGAAGCACATGCAAAAAATCAAGGCAATTCGCCACTTAATTTCAGTGTAATGAGGTCGACAAGATGTCCAGACCATACTTGTTGACGTCCATCGTGTTTTGCGCTTTGTAATTTGTTGTTTGATTGCTTTTTTATCATTTTTGAATGGCTCACTCTATTTATACAAGTAGCTTTATATTTATCAGGCGTGTAAATGACTGGTGATAAAATGTCTGAAATTTTTTCGACAGTTGACTACAAGTGCACCACAAACGATCTGGATCGAAACGGACGATCATCTGCACTGCCTCGCTGAGCTTTGTTTGAACTTGCTTTCGTGCATAGGCCTACACAGTACAGCTACTCTTAGTCTTCTTCTCAATTTACAGTGTACAGCATCAGAATTAAATCTGGGCGGAAGAAGGGCGCTGGACAATCCCGGACGAACCTAACAGTCTGCAAGTTGCAAAGAAAATAGATCTAACCCAAGTAGTCGGCAGGCTGCTGCCGTGTTGCCACCATGAATGACAACAAAGTGGGAATCCCTCAATAACTTCAAACAAGATGGCTGTTATTATAAAATTCGGCCAATGGTGCTGAGTTGTCATTCTCTAATTATCCGCTTTTCACACAGTTCAAGGCATTCAAGCAGTCGGCGATGAAACCTCCTACTCCTAGTCCTAGTCCTAGTGACGTAGCAGTATCATTGCCCGGCCGTGGGCCCGCCGCTACAGATCTAGTTTACTGGCGAGGGATGCCCTGAAAGACGACAAAATAGATGGCAGAAATATTTGGGCCAATCGCAGAGGTGGGCAAGGTGCTCGCTGTAGCTTCATGTGTCTATAGAAATCTAGTAAGCTACAGTAGTTACAATTTATAAAGTAAAAGTAATTAGTAAAGCCACAAGCCGGTGTCGAGAGTGAGAGTGAGTATCAATATGCGAGCAATTCACCTGCACAATATTATTCTGATTAAAAGTGAATAGATCTAATTAATAACTATCTCCTTTTCTGGTTATCTGGCAATATGTTAAGAATAATTACAGCAAGCTGCACACACCATGCGGCTATCATGATCATCGACTGACGCAATGTGTGTACTTACCTAGTTCCTGTCAGCCATTAACGTCGTAGTCGATTGGAGTGGCCAGTGACGGTACGCCGCGTTTTGAAGTCAAAAACAGTGTACATAGTTGGCGGTTTTTCTGTTCGCCCCCCCCCAATAAAAAAATAACAACAAATAACTAACAAACAACAAGCAAACAAACGTAAAACTTTGTTTCAGTATTTCAGAAACAGTAATGAAAATGCGGATTCACTCTGATTATATTAATGAATAATAATATATTCCTAGGGCCGTTTTGCCCCCATGCAGAGTTTTTCTGAAAGGCGAGGGGATTTATTCAATTAAAAAAAAAAAAAAGGTTTTAAAATGTTTTTCCTTAGGAGGCTTGTTAATTTTTCAGACCAAGTTTATATTTCTCTAAAGAAAAGTATCCTTTTAGAAATACTGAGGAGTTGAGATTGAAATGTGGGCCCCTGGATTTTTCATATTAAATAACCCAGGCTTAGCCCAAGCAATCAGAGATCGCCTATATGCGGCTCACTGATGTGCGCACGTTTAGGGGAGGGGGAGGGGGAGAGGGAGGGGAAGGGGCAGTCTCTGAGGTGCAAACAAGTCAATAGGCCTAGGCCAAGGATGTTAAAGAGCGAACCCTCTTGGCCCAGGCTAATAATATGTTAGGCCAAGGAGTTTACAACCTAGAAAGTCCGTATCACACTCAGAATTTAATTTTTTTTTCTCCCTGTCATTCTATCCATCATCCCGTCAGTTGATCTCAATCTCTCTCTCTCTCTCTCTCTCTCTCTCTCTCTCTCTCTCTCTCTCTCTCTCTCTCTCTCTCTCTCTCTCTCTCTCTCTCTCTCTCTCCTTCTCTCTCTCTTATTTAATTTTCCCCATTCTCCTTCGTTCCTTCCCGAGGCCCGCCCTCCTCTTTCATCCCAGCCCTAGGCTTTCTCAGACTGAGAAAGCCTAGTCCCAGCCCCATCCCCCTTCCTTGCGTGCATTCCCCCACCCCGCCCACCCCCACAACGTGGCGCAGCCCGATATGATGCTATAAAAAAGAAACACCACAGTTCGTGATTTAGACCACAGTCGGCGGCCATATTTGCTCCCCACCTCGGCGTGCTGCTCGTGGCGCCGTGAAGAGAGAGAGGAGGCTCCATTAGTTCTAAGTTCCTTGTGTTAGGCCTAAACTTAGGCCTTCTCAGGAACTGAGAAAGCCTAGGCCTAAACTGAACATCAGATAAATCTAGCACAATATCTGAAAAATCTTTCACCGCAACTTGGCATAATTGTTTTTTTTTGTGTAAAAAGTAAGACTTCCGCTCATGACCTCGTCCACGAACGCCGAATTATATTGCATTTCCGGTGTACAGTGTACACACGCGTTTTATTTTCTATCTGGGCTAATCACAGTATTCACAGAATCCTCTGTGGGGCTAATTCACTAGTCCACTGCCTCTAAGCGGTGTTGATAGGTTACTTAGAGACTTGTAGGTCTTTTTAGCCTTCGCAGCTATTTAGAAACCTCCATTGTTTTGGGTTTGTACGTGACATTGCTTCTGTAAAATACGAGATCTATTCTTCCATTGTCCAGTTGCCCAACCTTGAAAGCAAAATGGGGAAGCCTAACCCTAAACCAAGGGACAGAATTAACAAAGCTGGCCACAGCATGAATCCAGGTTTGTTGTCATTTCACTAGATTCTAGATATAGATCTGCAGAATCTAGTCTACTCGGCCTACCATACACATGCTGTTAAATATTTCAGACTGAAGATCTATCCGGAGTAATCTATCTGCCATTTGGGGGTGGTGCTTTTTCGGTAGTTCCCACCCCTCTTATTTGATTTTGAGCCTAGCCTAGATCTAGATCTAGAATCTAGATCTAGATCTAGATCTAGATCTAGAAATCTAGATCTAGATATATATCTAGATTCTAGATCTACATTGAGATCTGTACGTTTGATGTGCGGCGAGCTAAGGGGAAAATTGAAGAAATTAGAATACCGGACCACTCGTACATTATTGCGTGGGCGTGAGAAAGTGGGGCGGGTGGTTGGGGTGGGGGAGGGGGGATGGGGGGTTCAGGAGGGGGGTCTCCCCCCTGACAAAATTTTAATGAATATATCTACCTGTCCGAGATTCTCCATTCTGAGATATTAAAAACGGGAAAATTATGAATTCGTATGGTTGAGACATAGGCAAAGTCAGTCCGCTGGTCCGGTATTCTTCAATCTTACCGAGCTAAAATATCAAACCTAACTGTGGGTGGTTGGCGGGTGCTCTGGTGCGGTTTGCTCCTTCTTTCCTATCAAACATATATCATCCTTATCTCCCCTCCTTTTTTGTGTTTGTTACTCTCTTGTAGCACCTCTAATCTTCTGGCGCTCATATATGACCTTACATCAGTTGCGAGCGCCGTAAAACCTCTACTTAAAAAAACCCAAAACACCCAATCTAGGTCTAGATCTAGATTAGATATCTAGATTCGAGATCTAGATTCTAGATCTAACAACTGCAAAACATCAAATTAAATGGTGCCCCCCTGAAACCCCCCACCAATGGCACCATGTTTTTATTAGGTCAAGCCCCCTTGAAACTCCCCTACTCTTGAGGCCAAAACCGGCGAATAACAATTCACGCGATAACAATTGAGGGGTACGAACTACCGAAAAAGCACCCCCAAAAATACCAATAGGCCTACCTAACTCAAACTGGTTTGCAATGTCTTGTAGGCCCACTCAACTGCTGTGAACAGTCATAGATGAAATTTGTGAGAGGCTAGCCTTGCCTTACTTAATGACCGCTAGATTTAGATTCTAGATATATCTAATCTAAACTGCTAGGCTGTCTGTACTACACCTAAAAGTAAGTACAGAAGACTGGCAGGCTAGCCATACTTAATCAGTGCAGTTATGGTGGCTAGACAGCTGGGCTAACAAGCTGATAAAATTTAGAGAACGCCAGAGGTGTACATCATTGGCGGATATTTATAGTAACAGCCATCTTGTTTTACGTCAACTCTTTGAACCCCATCGGACGCTCGACGGTAATAACCCTGTTCCCCATCAGACGCTGGGAGCGTCCATTTAGATCTCTAGTGACAACTGTTTCGTTTTATTTCTAAGGCCTATTTCTAGTGCTAGTTTTTGCTCAGTTTTTGGGAACTATTCCCGAACCAAGTTTTTTAGTAATGATTAAGTACTTTGTTTTCGCTTATTAGCAGTTTGAGGCAAGTTTTTGGGGTTAGATCTATAATAGGTTTAGGTGATTGTAGGAAAAAAACTAGGAAACGGTGGAAAAAACTGAGGGTTTAAAGAGTTTTTAAGGGATTCCCACTTTGCTGTCAGTCATGGTGGCAACACGAAGGCAGCCCGCAGACTCAGATTAGATCTATTTTCTTTGCTACTTGCAGAACTGTTAGTTTCGGTTGTCTGGGATTATGCAGCACCCTTCTTCTGCCCAGATTGATTCTGATGCTGTACACTGCGTAAATTGAGAAGAAGACTAAGAGTAGGCCTACTGTTCGGTGCGACTGCCGTCGTGCGGTTGTGTTGCCACCATGACTGACCACAAAGTGGGAATCCCTCAATGACATCAAAACAAGTTGGCTGTTACTAGATCTATAATATAAATATCGGCCAATGACGTACATCTGACATTCTCTAATTATCCGCTTGTGCTAACCCAGCATACACTTAATTAAATAATGATCAATGGCTTCACTGACATCATCATCATCATCCAGTGTCAGATCTGCGACAGACATCGGCGATCATGGTTCTCCATTCATTCATTTGCTCGGATGCTCTCAAAAAATACATTTCCCTGATCTTTCCCTGTTCTCTGTAGACCTGCATGTTTGCCGACAATCGTCTGAAATCCGACAATCGCGACCCGACCCGCGAACCGGCCGATGCTATCGCTAGGCCCGCCTGTATCAGTCAATGTGCGTAGTGCGAGGCCTGGCCGACTGCCAGCGACCCCTTTTTCTCCCGTCGGCACTTTCGTTTTCGTGCCGACCGCCGACGTGCGCACCGCTGACTGCCGACGTCGGCGTTTCCGACATAATTGTCGGAACCTAAGTAGAAATGCGAATACGAAAAAGGACGACAACCTAAATTATCTACTTTCAGTTTCGTGCTCGAGCGGCCATTTTTAATTTCGTTTGTTGACTAATTCAATTGTTTAGATCGTGTTGATTCATTCATCAAGTCCGACTCTCTTGTTCTAATAGAATCTAGATCTAGATCTAGATCTAGATTTATATAGATCATTATAGACCTCAATGGAGGATTCATATTCCAATTCTATTGTGTCAGACCCTATCATAGGTTGTGCTGTAATATTAATATTGGTAAAAATAAGCAATTCATCAGGTGCGTGAATTATTTATTTTTATTTAGATCTCTAGATCTAGATCTAATATATCTAGACTCAACTGAGTACCTCTGTTCGGGATCGGATGCGGATTTCGAGTTCAAGGCCTATTCCTATTCACTTGTTCTACTAGATCTAGATCTAGATTTATTTAGATTACTAGATCTATATATGGAGGATTCATATTCCAATTCTATTGTGTTATTGTATCAAACCCTATAGCAATGTAGATGTAAGCCATATATAGATCTAGAATCTAGATCTAGATTTTATATGCTTATTGTTTGTTTTAGGGTGTGGTTTTTTAATTTAATTTTTTTTTTCATTTAGGACTTGTTTTGGCCTTTTTACATGAGGCCCGTTGCAGGTTCTTTTTGGGGGTAGGGTTAGGGTTAGGTCTCTTCTTTATTGTGTTTTTTGGGGTGGTCGCTCGTTACTCGGATGTCCTTCCTTATGACACCCACAAAGGCTTTTTTTTTGGGGGGGGGGTAGCGCAAAATTTTCAGACAATCTGGTTGAGGCTCACATGCAGGTCTATCTCTGACAAACAGCAAAAAATTCGGTCTTCTGAATTGAAAATAAGTTTTTAGTTTGCAATCTTAAATTTAAAGTATTTATATTTGAGACGAAACCGAAAGGTGCCTTACTGACAGCGCATGTATTTTAAACCTGAATAATTACTAATGACACCTGTGTACTCAACAGTAATAGGGCCTAAAAAAATAAG